CACTGTCTGTGGAAGGGAGTTCCACAATTTTACAGCTCACACAGTAAAAAATCCCCTTTACTGTTTAAGATTCAACATTTTCTCTTCCAGTACAGTAATAAATGTACACCTATGACTCAAAAGAGAATTAAAACCAAAAAGGTGTGGCTATAGTTTTCTTTTAACATGACAGAGAAACAGACAGAAAGACAGATCAGATGCTGCTGAAGCACTCAGGAGCCTAGAAACCCATGGCACTTCATTATGCAAATGTCAAGTTTTCCAGAGAAAATGGAACTCTGGCCTTCTCCTTCCAGTGTCTAGCTTTTAGTTAGAGGCAAGTAATCATTGTAAGGTCAGATTTTCCCTAGATTTTAGTGGTCCCCATAGGTATCTGAAGATGCTTGCAGGCACCTCCAAGTGCCTGCTACACACATGTAGAACAATTATGGGAGCTGTCATTGTTGTGGTAATAAGAGGGCCATAAGTCACCTGACCTGAATTACTGGACTGTCTTTTCTAGTTGGAGCTGATTCAGATGCCGCTCCAGTGGCTTACGCTCTGCATACCGAGCACAGGCAGTTGCTCGCTCGGCACCACCACATTCAGAGACAAATGTTTTAAATGTTGTTACTAAAACAAAAAGCAAGGGGAAATCCAAAACTTTCCAGTTCTCATCAAAACAAGAGATGAGGATATATCTTCCAAATAGGACAACTGTCAGAGAGGAATTCCCTTCACTTTGCAGAGATTTTTAGTTCGCCTTCTGTTGCATATCTGGGACAAGAAGTTCGGGGAAATCTCCCAAATGGGACACAGAAGGAAAAACAACGACCAAGGTTTAAACCTTTCCCCATTCTATCCTTAAAAAAATGTTTGGGCTATACATATACTTTAAACTTTAAATGTGTGTTTCCATATCACTGCATTTATTTTGAGGTCACTGAAGGACATAACTGCAAAAAGAAGTAGAGCTCTCCACCAGATAAAGGGAGTTGAATTTTATTTTTCATTAATATATCATTCCCAACTTGCTAGTTACAGATTAGTTTAAAAAAAAAAAGTGCAATTCAATCACTGAAGTGTTTTTTGCTTTACTCTGTTATTGTAAATACTGTCATTTGGAGACAAATTAACAGTGTAAATTGTGGTTATGGCCTGGAGGATCTAAACTCTCAGAACTATTATGTGAAAATTAAAACATTTTCTACACTTGACAACATTTTCATTTATGAGGCACATTGATTAAAGGAAATGCCTAAACATGTTTTGTATAGATTATAACGTGAAAATGATCAAATATCTTAGAGGAGGCATGAAAAACACAATTTTCAAATGGTGTGGCTTCATCACTACACTTCAGACTGTCCACATTAAAAACCAAGGCTGAGGATGAAACCATATTTTTCATCAGCTGAATTGCTGATGAAAAGCCAATGAAGCTTTGACATTTTATGAATTTACTTAGATTTGCAATTCATATTATCAATATTCTCTGGGTAGCAAAGATGAGGGAAACAACAAGGGAAGAGTATAACTACTAATTAACTTCCAGCTTGAACAACTATTTGTCCCCAAAGGCACAAAAGGGAAACCCACTAAAAAACAAGTTAATTAGTTACACAGCAAGTTTAAGTCAGAAACTGCATATATATTTGTGTGTATTCATGTTTTCTAAAGCAAGATTTGGCTGCCGGCAAGTGATTATTTCTGTTATGCCAAATCTTTCGTCTGAAACATTTTACAAACAAAATGTACAAAGGACATACAGCAGGATGCATCCAACTTTCTATAAAGAATTGGTCATCTAAAATCTACAGGAGATCTTTAAATGAAACCAACAAACCAGCTTGTCAACCGCCTGACATGTAATATTTAATTTCTTATATTCCAAGTGATAATATCAATATTATCAGGCCTGGATCAGAGAAGATCTAAGGAAAAAAACAGTATAAGGAAGCATTTTTTTTTTCGATTCAGAATACATTAATTTATATCTGATGTCTGTATAACTGAACGATCACCGTCATTTACAGGGAAGGTAAAAGTGGATTAGGTGTTCATCAATAAAATCCAGCTTTGAGTAGTCAAAGTTTAAACATTTATAACGTTTTGATATGAACCAGTAAATTTATACAAGCTATTACCACCATCTTTTATTACAGAGATGGCGTCATGCTATGCCCTAAATAACTTCTTCCACATGCGGGGGGTGGTGCGGGCCAGATATTAAGGAAGTGCAAGAATGTTATGTGGAGACTGCCCAACCCTCCTCAGTGATGTGTAATGCGGAATTGCACTGGCCCCATCCAGCCTCAGAAGTCTGCGTGACTCCACACCTCCAGTGTCCATAGTCCTTTCAATAGTGCAATAGAAAGAATATTTTCCTAGCAGTGGTAAATGAGGTGGGCAAAATCGTTTTATCTGTTCCAGGAGTTAGCTGCTGTACATATAATAGTACCTGCTATATAAGCAATAGATGTTGCATAATAGCAGAAAGGATGGATAAGAGAGTATAAAATGTGACAGGCATTATATAGAGCTTATTCACACCATGTCCATTGATCTGCATTTTTCTGCACACCACCACATACCACAACAGTAAAAAGCATCTTTTAAAAAATTAAAAGAAAGGAGAAGGTCAATCCTCAGGCAGATGGCAGGGAAAATGACAACCCTCGGGGAGTTGGCAGGAGAAGGACAACCCTCGGGGAGTTGGCAGGAGAAGGACAACCCTCGGGGAGTTGGCAGGTGAAGGACAACCCTCGGGGAGTTGGCAGGCGAAGGACAACCCTCGGGGAGTTGGCAGGAGAAGGACAACCCTCGGGCAGTTGGTGGGAAAAGGTCAACCCTTGGGCAGTTGGCAGGACAGGATCAACCCTCAGGCACTTAGTCTGAGAAGGTAAACCCCCGGGCACTTGGTGGGAGAGGGTCAACCCAGTCAGCAGAGGCAAAAAGTCTGGATGTAAGCCTGGACTGTATTGTCTGTAAGGAGACAGTGAGAGATTGCCTGAAAATACAGTGAGGGGAATTTATCAAAACTGGAGCAGACAAAATCTGGAGTAGCTGTGCATGGCAACCAATCAGCGTCTCTCTTTATTTTAAAATCCTAACTGACCAAACTAAAGAGAGAAGCTGATTGGTTGCCATGCACAACTAATCCAGGTTTTGTCTGCTCCAGTTTTGATAAATTCCCCCCAGTATGTTGCAGCTTAACAGGCCATTACATTTTTGTGCTGCACATCAGTAAACTACATAGTACCCATAAAAAAGACAAATATCTATTGTTTCTTTATGTTAAAAATTAAAGACTTTTACCTTTGATTTATTTGAAAAGTAATGTACCCCTAACAATTTCAATCAATACTGAGAATATGTGTAAGATAGATTGTTTTCTACTGGCTCTATAATTTTGCATTGAACTAAACTGCTATTTCTCCAAAAAGGGTGCTTTAAAATTTTGAGGGGGAGTGCACTTAAGAGATATATATCCATCCATCTACCTGGAAATATAAGGTATACATAAAATAACTGTATTTCTCATGACTTTAGTATTTACAGCTTATGAATAAAAAGCCTTTTATTTTTCATTTTATTTTTTTACAGTCAGTCTGATGAAACTGCAAGAATAACACCACTTTGAAGATAAAACACAAGCAGTGCATTCAAGTAAATTTAAGTCAAGGTCTGTTGAGAACTCCCAGGATCTATATTTCACATCACACTTTGCAATTTATATTGGCTATTTCAGCACATCCTTGAGAGCATTGTCTAATTAAAAATGAGTTTAGCCACCCAGGACAAGGAGAAATACCTCAATAAGCCTCTGTATCGGCAGCTAAAGATTGAAGTTCACTACATTTTTTTTGTCCTCACAAAACGCAAGGTGCTAAAAGCACACATTGCACTTTGAATAAATATAAATATTTACAAGAATAAATGTTACTTATTGATCACATTTATACAATCCACAAGGCGAGATGTTATGCCTTTGTGTTCAAATAAATGATCAGGCCTTCACTTTGCTAAAGAATAATTAAAAAGATAAAAAGAAGCATAAAAAAAAGAATATTAATGCAGACACCACATCTAAGGACTGGCAAGCTGAAATACAGTATATTGTATTTTAGTTCCTGGGTGTAAATACGCTTTAGGCTAGGTTCACATTGCGCGATTTGTTTGTCGCGCGATTTGCATTTTGCACGATATCGCGCAAATGCTTGCATTGAGCAAGCGAGAATCGCTGCAAAATCCGCTCCAAAAAGGGTCCTGCTGTAGCGACACACGACCCGCGAGAGCAGGACCCTTTGCCCCATTGAGATGCATTGAAGAGCGATATCGCGCGGTAAATAGCCGCGATATCGCGGGAATTACCGCGCGATAAATCGCTCAATGTGAACGGGGCCTTAAGGAACTCAAGGTATTTTGGGGATTTAGAATACACTTTAATAGTCTGCATTTCCGTAGGTAAAGCTCACAAAATGACTGACACCAGGACCAAATAGAAATGTTTTCTTTGCTGCCTTCAGCAAAGAACAGACCATGTTAAAATGCAGTCACAAGCATTGTTAATAGGACAGACCACGGAAAACTCCAAAACTAGCCTTATTAGACTCATTTGTTTTGACAACATCAAGACACGTTCTCAAGTGGAATGCTGATTGTGGTGTCACCGGCAGCCATTCTCATTAAACAGAAAATAAGCGAAGATTAGCCTATCTGGAACATACTGTGTTACATTTACAGGGTCCTGAGTGGAGGAGGAGAAACAGTAAACTGGTAGAGACACACTATACAGATCACTTTAGTGCAGGTAAGGTAGCCTGGTATTTATATCGGATTTAATAACATGAGTAGCCCTTCTCCTGTTTCGACAGCTGTTATGAAGCAAAGTGATAACAAAATAAGGGCTTCAAGAAGCAGACAATTTTTACATGGGATGAAGATTTCCTTTTCAAGAAATATCACCAAATACCAAATTGTCTGCAAGGGTAGAGGCAAAAAAAGTGCAACAGCCTTACTTGATAACTGTGCCTTTGGTGCCCCCTGCTGTTGTAAGCATGACCCGCGTGGTGAGGCTGACTCGTAGATCATCTTCGTCCAAACCCAGCAGCTTTGAGCAGCATCCTAATGACTTGCTAGATTGGTTCTTTAAAGTGCAGCCACCTGGTGTTGAATACAAAAAAATGATGTCAGCAAAACTAACTTCTACAGGAAGGAGCATTATTGGTTAACAGAAATTTGGCATTCATCCTAGCTCATAGGCTTTTGTCCAAAGGATCTGTATTACGCAATCTGCGCTTTTAATCTTTTCTCTGGCAAAAATAAAAAGCCTTGTACATGACAAAACCATGGTAAGCAGTTTGAAAACAACACATTGAATGTTAATGTGCTCTTTGTAAAAAAAGAAATTGAAAGAGAAACAGAAGTGCCCGGACTGTTCTTGGAATAAAAGACAAATTATTGTAGTTAGTACATGAACAGAAAAATATACACATTTAAATACATGTATAAATAAAGTTATACTTAAAACACAAAATCTAAAAGGGCCAAAACTTTATTTTTTTAGCCCATGGTTGACTACAATCTCACAACAAATTAGTAAATAAACATGAAATTATAGTCCATCATGGGAGTGAGCTTGGAGCTGTGGCTACTTTACAGCACACACAGGAACCATGAGTAAGAAATGTATCCACCCTTCAGAAGGAAGGACAGTGTCAGCGCCAAATCAGAGGTGATTTGACACCCAAGTGATACACAAATATGTATGTTGTTAAGTTAAGGTACTTGAATGCATTTTTAAGATTTAAATCCTGAGTTTGTCACTTTAAAGCCCCTGACAATTTTTTTTCTGTCACTTTGGGGAGATGTACCATAGCTCCCTGTCTTGAGACACAAGGCATAAAGTAAAAAAAAAAAAAAGGAAAAACTCTCTCAGACAGTTGTCATCAGAATGAGTGCTGCCACTGGAAGATTTGCCTACAACTCAAAATTGTAGATTTTCACCCACCAGGTGGCCAGGACAAATACAGGGGCTGACTCTTCCCAGGGAGGTCACAGAAACCAATAAAAATATGACAGAAGTTCTAACCCTTGCCCACGCTATCCAAATCTAAAAGTGGTAGCCTTAAAATCATTTTAACTTAATGTTTATTTTCAACATGCCTATGTAACCACAGCTCCTATCCCAAAAGTGGAGGCTGCAGCATATTAAGAACTGGTACTGCCACATGTAAGTACAGTAGTGTTTATGCAACTGTTTGCTGTTAAGGTTGACAGACCTGTACCCGTGCTACAATGGGAACAGACTTGAGTTAACATAGTTGTGATGACCTTAGTAGAGTTTGCTTAAAAAAGTTGTCATTAATAATGAAAGCAGGTATGAACTTCCAAGCAAGTTCTTCTATGTACAAAATTGTTTGTAATATGCATATAAAGGTTGCTGGTAGAGTATTATAAAACTTGTTCTTCCTAGTATATCTGTAAAAAATAAGTCAAGGCAACTGGACTTGCTGTATTTTTCTTGAAGACGTTTCACTGGTCATCCAACCAGCTTTCTTAATTCAGAATAACTTGTAAAACATTATCTGGGAATAAATATGGTGAATGTTGCTGAAATCCACATAATCTGTTAGTCACAACCAACAGATGTCGGTGAAACAAAACTGCAGCTACACCAGCATATGGCACAGCATAGAAGAGCCAAACACTCTGGTCTGGATTCAGCAGTATGCCTTCATATAAAGGAAAAAGATCACTCCTTTGAAGACAGTCAAGTATGCATCCTAGACAGGGAGGAGGACTAGTTTAAAAAGTGTGAAAGAGGCAATTTATGTAAAAATGGAGAAGCCAAGCTTGAATAGAGGTGGGGGGTGAGACATTATTGTCTGCCACATACAATGCTGTTTTAACACATCTCTCAGGCCAGGTTATTAACACCTAGCTCCACATATGCAAATGCAATAAACACCTGGTTGCGACTAACAGATTATGTGGATTGGAGCAACATTCACCATATTTGTACCCAGATAATTTTTTACAAGTCATTCTGAATTGAGAAAGCTGGTATGATGACCAGTGAAACGTCTTTTAAGAAAAATACAGCACGCCCAGTTGCCTTGACTTAATTTTTACAGATATACCATGACCTGGATGAATGAGAACCTTCACAGGCTCATCGTTCTTCCTAGCCATTTACTTATGTCAGTAAAGGGAAGAGTGCCAAGGCATGAAGATTAGAGAGATGTGATAAGATGTCACAGAACCTCAAAGCTTTCTGCTAAGCATGCTGGTCAGGGAAGGGCATGAGCTTGTAATAGCTATTTCCCTTCACAACTGATGTATAACTCTGCTGTCATCTCCTAAAACAGTCTTGGATGAGGAGACTCTTCCCAAATCAGAAGTATTGCACAGCCATACACAATTTACCAACATTTCAGAAAAAAAAAAGAAAATGTAACTCCCCTAATGAATGTCTAAAAAAACTAACACTGAACTTCAGGGATAACTCTTTGACAGCACCATGCAGTCTATCACCATCAACTCTTATTTTTTTTATGAGCCGGAAAGTGAAAAGATAAACAATTCCCCTCGCTCTTATAATATCCGACACATACATCCTTATTTTGCCACCAACAGCCACAATATCACAGCAACGAGTCAAGGGCAAGTAAAGTCACTGCAAACAAATGTTAGCTATAAATAAGAGTTGTTAAAGCATGATAAAACAGCAATATGCAACAGGGTTTTCACAATATTCCATAACACTTATCAGGTGTATAGATTTTACTCTTTAACCCGCAATACAGTAGTGACATCCAGTAACTCACAGCAACCTGACAATGTCTTTTCATTATTCGTTGGACTTTCTCAGGGTAACTCCATCTTTTTATGATTATTATTGATTTATAAAGCACAGATGTCTTTCTTAGCACTAGACAAACTAAGGACATAGAGGGACTGTAGCAATGACATTAAAGCACACACGCATACATAAAACAGTAGCAATGAACTTACTGTCAAGTTAGATATTTTTATGGGTTGCAAATGAAGAAATATTCTTTGTGGCTGTCTGTATATAATGTGAGTTTCCCAATTTACCCAGATGAATATGTTTGAGTACTGTACAATAAATTACTCAAGTGCCGTTACAAACAAAAAGGAATTTTCTAATGAAAACACAATGGTAAAGTATTTGTAGGATACGAACAGTTTTATTCACTAATGCAGATAACAATGCCTGAAGTACAGCAATTCACAGCAACAACATAGCGCACAACTTTCCATTCTTTAGGAGGAACTTTCCCTCTTTTGGAACCAAATCCCTCTGTCCATTTTTCCTCCTTAAAAGACAAGTTCAGTTTAGACCTAAAAGCTCCCATGCCCCCATCTCTAAGCCCCGAAATCCATTAACCTGAAGCATACCTAGTGCAGGGGCTTAACTTTCCTCCTCCAGTGGCAGTGGCCTCCCACGCTGTTTCCATCATGGCCAGTAAAAATATAGTGTCGGAATGCCAGACCTGAGTAAGATGTACCTGTCCTGCAGGAGGAATGTCCTATTTAAGGTTATGGGAACTGCACAGGCAGCTTGGCACCAGATATTTTCTCAGCAGGAATGTAGCCATTAGGGAAAGGAGGTTGTTCAGCTTAGTATATATATGGGGTTAGGAAGGGGGGCTAAGGAGAGGGGGGTTTAGATCATTACTATCCTTTAACTGTCCCGCCTTTTGATCTGATACACAGACCTGTATAAATAAATGTACAAAGTATTTCTATTGCAATAAACATAAGCATTCTTTAAATTATTGCACCTGATATTTTCAACCCATAGTATAAAGGTAAAGTAAAAGGCACAAATTAGTGCATTTATTGCAAAGCGTTTTGCACAAAAATTCAAGGTACGCATGACAGAGGGTGTGACAAGGGAATGTCTTTTACCTAAATAGTTCATTGAGGTGGTATGACACTAATCAAAATCATTTTTTTGCAGTTCTTACTGCAGTAAATTAGAAATCACATTGTTTGCTATGGGTGACTACACTTTACACGTTGCTGGTTATGCTTATGTAATTATGCTGTAAATAAAATCCAACATACACCAAGTCCTAACCTCTACCGTTAAGCAGCTACTGTTTTTCACATAGTCCAGAAAAACAGATGTATTTACTGAGCATGGTTACATCCAAATAGACATTGTGACCCTGCTGTCAGCCAGGGGCCAATCTGTCATTTGTGACATTCACTTGTAGTAACAGGCATTGTGCAGAGCACCTGCATTGCAGCAGTCACACAACAGTGCATTTTTATTGTTTCCAAAAGACCTTTGCAAATCAGCTGTGCAGATGGAGGTTTCATCTACTCATAATGAAATCACTTTTTTCATTCACTCATAGAGGAAAAGCGCTTCTAAAAATCCATTTTTTTTTTCCTTCAGACCTTACCTTTGCTATACTATCTACGGAACAAAGCCCACATGCAATTTAGAGCACATTTTATTCCCACTTTTAAAAAGAACATTGTGCTTTGTGACTCAAACTCAGGGCTTTTCAGATGACATTTACACTGACAGAATAATAGAATAAAATGTCTTCTAACCAGAGGTGCTCCCAGTTTCTTCAAAATCAATATTTCCAAGGTGCAGGACGCCAGCAACCACTCGGAAAAGATCAAGCTTCTCTGTGTCATTCAAGCCAATCTTTTTCATAGCTACGACCATTCGATTGAAATCTCCATGATCATCTAAGAGGGGATCCTTTAGGGAGCCATGTTTGAGGTACTACAAAAAAAAGAAAACTTTGTCGCTTTAGATTAGACAGACAAGTCTATAATACGAAGGCACGTACAACATCTACATATTGTATTTGAAAGAGCTTTTTAGAGAAGTAGAGTTAGCATGCAAAAGTGAAGATTAGATAATCAAATGAGACCATCACATACACACTAATAAACAGCCATTTTGTGAGCTAAGCTGCATACTAATGAGGATAAAAGAGGATAAAAGAGGTTTCTGATGCATGCCCTGTACATAAGGTTTATTTAAAGACTAAGTATGCAGACTTTCACTGCACACTTGGTAAATCGAGTGCTTATCTATGTATGATAACATTGTGCAAAGCATGCTGTGTACAGTAAGCCATGGCATCCACTAGGATAACCAGCTTTCTGCAGCTCCGAATGGAGGGTCCATATTGGCTATATATCTGATTGGTTGCTGAACACATTACTCTTTGCATTATTACAGGGCATTCCCAGTTTAAAAGGAAGTCCCCCATCTACAAACCCCTCCATGTAGTGGCCAGCTATAGGCCAGGAACTAGGATTTTAGCTTTCTTCTGGTGAAGTGTGGTTTTGTGGTGTCCCGATATTGCTAAACAGATGAATCAGAAGGTCTGAAACTCCCTTTTAAATATTCCAGACAACATTTGAATTCTGCGAAGCAAAGGCACTACTGAAATAGCGATCAATAGCATAGATTGTACAAATGGCTTCCTATTGTCTAAACTACAGTAAGAAATAGGTAGTAGCAGATATGTCCCAATGACTGCCCAATGCTCCAAATGTGTGCGCTTATGTTACTACATGCTACTTGTATAGCTAAAACAGGGAGCCATTTGTTCCAACTCTGTAGCCACTGATTACCAACTAAATTACTAACATTCGCCTGTATACTTTTGCCCTTAAACAGACAAGTAAATTGAAGCAAAATAAATGTGTTCATATTGGATTCTAACCAGTGTTAAAAATTGTTGCCATTAGTTTGTAAACCCTATGATAAATTACATCCTGGCTTTATTGCCAGAGCAGTGAATGCAAACAGCAGGCAGGCAGATGCCCGTGAGTGTATATACCTTAATTGTTAATCAACTGAGATGCTAAACATTGCATCAGCTCTGAAAATGGCTGCCTTTATCGTGTGCACCTGACAGTTCTGTTTTACAACGAAAATCTGAAGCACAGCTATATAGAAAACAATTGTTTCTATACAGTTGTAACTAAAATACAAGAAAAAAATATATAGATAGAAAGCACTAAATTAGCTAAATGATTTGCTTTATGGGGATGTTGATGTTCCTGGAGTTAATCACATTCTAATTTATGTTCCATGTATATTTATATACTCCTTCACCCATAAAGCAAATATGCATGCAGAGCAGTTCATCTCTACTCCTAGGAGATTGTTTAGGCATGCTGTATTAGGCAGGGCGCTCGGAAACAACAGAGTATAAAAAAAAGCTCACAGAGTCAGAGAACTTCTTAAAAGCAGAAAACGACTTCCCGCAAATATGTCATGCATCTGAAAAGTCACTGCACGCTTCTCTACACACCATCAATACTAAGCTAAAAATGATTGCAGGTTACAATAAATATACCTCATCTTCCTGATATAATATAGGAAAGGCAGGAAAAAAGCAATTTACAGAGTTAATTGCACTGTTTGCTATGGATACAGCAGTTTACACAGAAACAGCAGTGAGACAGCAGCGACAATGAAGCAGCAGCAGGTGAAGGATTTGTGGCTATCTGGGTATACGCTTATTTATTTATTACAGGTATTTATATAGCACCGACAATTTATGCAGCACTTTACATAGTGCATATGTGCATCAGTCCCTGCCCTCAAGGAGCTTACAATCCAAGGTCCCTATCTCACATGTATTCTTGCAAGGGCCAATTTAGACAGGAGCCAATTAACCCATAACCATGTCTTTGGAGTGCCAGAGAAAGTCAGAGTACCCAGAGGTACTCTGTACCCAGAGGTACCCAGAAGAGCCAGCCACTACGCCACAGTGCTTCTATAACAACAGAGCAGTATGTGACCATCTCGGGCCATTCTGGTTTTCCCTGATATTATAAAGGACATTGAGTACAGCTGCATTCAGTTATAAAATAGGCAATTTTTTTTTATATATGGATGTCCACAGGTGCACCATTTATCTGATACCCAACATTACATTTTGGAACTCTAAAACAATGTGGTTCCCAGTAGAACAAAACAGGTTGAATGTTAATGGTTCTTAAAGTAAGTACAATAGTACAAATAATCATAGTTCAACCAAACTATAAAGAAAACAAGTTTTATTGTTGGGTAGGGTGAAACACGTATCCAATGTTCCTGCAAAGACAGCATGTTGTGCATGGGAAAAAAAAAATAATCACCTTACCAATGCAACTGATCAAAGGAAAATGGCACGTGCATGGCAAATAAACTAACTAAAATAAAAGAGAAATCCTGAAATTGCATAGCATGAAAAAAGGGACTTCTTTTTTCTAGTATGGAATTCAGGATTTCTCCCACAATTTCCTCGCTGTTCATCCCCCACAATCCACCATCAAAAAAGTCCTTTAACATATATATTTACCATAACAGCTCAACACTTTATCCTACAGTGTTCAGCCAACAGTTTCTTTCCTCCAATATTCAGCCATCCCATTCTCCACCCCCAGATACCCCAACAACTTAAAGGGAAACTGTGATGAGAGAAATTACTGGAGGCTGCCACTGCTGAGCTCTTCTTTTGAGAATGCTAGTTCCCTCGCTGTCATTCTGATGCCTAGTCATCAAAGCTATCTAGATCACTGACTTGGACGAAGTGCAGACATTAGAAATACTGACACTCAAGTAAAGCATGGTTGTTCCAGGTCTGTGACTTAAAAGCACAAATGTCAGACACAGCCAGGCATCTAGTATTTTCAACAGGCAGCCAGCAATGGCAGCCCCCATACTTTTCTTAAGGCAGTTTTCTGTGATAATGTGGTGCTTCATACAAACATGCAACTTCTATGCACCTCTATGATGATCAGACTGTGAACAAAGTTGGTCAATCAACAGATATAGTAGGACCTCATATGAGAAAAGAGGTCTAAATGCATTTAGTAGTGTGCCATCACATGAAATTGAAGTCACCCAAGTCTCTGGATCTTCAATGCCTTAGCATGTAATACCACAGAATGCACAGTATAGTCCCGTACAGACTCCAACCAGGTTCTGTTTTCCCCACATAAGCTTCCAAATAAAAGGAAAGTTAGATCTCTTATAGAGTAAGTACCATTTTAAAAGGCTTTAACAAAAACTTTAAATACATTCATTTAAAAATTGCCATCACCAGCCAGGGTAGAGTGTAATGTCAGTCAGTGTCTCCAAAGCTTTGTCCATGAGCTCTAACGCATTTTGATCTAGAGGGCGTCATCAGGGGCTGAAGACACTGAATTACTAAACAGAGCGTACAAGAGCATATTGTGCAATCTGTGGTATTACATGCTGGCGCAGTGGAGGTCCACAGGGGCTTTGGTCATTCCAATCTTATTCACAAAACAGTGAAGAGGTTGGAGAAGGCAGGAGTAGTGAACAATCTAGGCTAAAATAGCTGATTAGGAAACATTCTCCAATTCAGCTCACTTTCCAAATCAGCTATGTTGTCCTAGATTGTTCACTTCTCCTGCCTTCTCCAAACTCTTTACCCTTTGTGAATAACCCTGAAAGTGTTTCTCATATGAGGTCCAACTATATCTAACGAGTAACCCATTCTCACTTTAAGGTTCGCATTATCAAGAAAAATTGTACACAACGACTTTATATATTGGCCTTAGGTATGCTGCTGTTCATTTTGTGAGCCACCCATTTTCCCTTCCGGTCACATTTGTTTGCAGTCTGTTCTTCATAAGAGTACATAGGAATTTCATGTGTGTATGAAGCCTTACAAGATTACAGACAAATTGTACACAGAGACTTTATATATATAGGTCTTATAAGTGCTGCTATTTTCCGTATATTATATTGTATTAGTGAGGACTTACATCTGCTTCTTAAGACAGGGTCACTTCCATTTTGGTCTAGGATCAATATGATTTTGTAAATGTGTTTGCATTACCTAAGAACTTTTATGCACACCTATAAGAGGACACTATAGTCAGAGCTGTTAAAAATACTCTATGCCAGTCCAGAATTTACTGCTTCACTTCCTGACCAGCATGGAGTTCTATTATTAGGCCCATGACAAGGGTTTAGAAAGTTGATGCTGTGGAAATGGTGCAAGATGTAACTAAATTAGGAGTAAAGAAGGATGAGATCTACCCCATAGATATGACAAAAATGACTGCTAGTTTGTACCCTAGTAAGTTAACAACATTAATAATAACAATAATTTACAGAACATATAATTTCTAGATATGGAGCTTCCACTATTATTTATTGAACGGCTAAAGTCCATTTTGCTTTATAAAAAATGCTTAAGCCTAATTAGACAACCAGGCATGTCTACCAACAGCCTGTGAGTGCTTAACACCCTGGACAATCATTTTCAGATACATAGTCATTTACATCAGGATAGACATAAAAAACCTGAAATTTAATGGAGCGTAAAAAATAAAATGGGCCAAGGACACACACCATCTCTTGATATTTCTGCACCCATTAAAATAAAAAGCCTAGAAAAATATTTTAAGGTGCTATTATCCAGCCGCCTGACATTGCAATCGCCATGTGAAGAGTGCAGTGTAATACATTCTTCTATGAAGTAATGCCTTAGTGATTAATTAAAACTAATCTGGACGCAAACATCCCCCTCCTTTGCAGTCAAGCTGATTAACAACTATTCACTAGGTGGCCTGCAAATGTATAGAGCAGTACGTGAAAATCAGTCGCTACATCCATTTACAAGCCATGTCACCTGGATCAATCGATGAATCTGTGTCACTGAACTTGACTGTCAGTATTATTCAGGAGTAAAAACATGGGCAATATTCCTGCACTAAAGGAAAGTTATAAATGTCAAGGACATACACAGGTTTGTCACTTCTTTTCCCTACAGGAGAGCAGCTCTTGCCTGCTTCTTACAGATAAGAGACGTATCAGTCAGAGTTTGAAGTGTGGGGACCAGGTGTAAGGGAAAAAGCAAAGCATTAATTAAGAGAAGCGTATGTTTGGTGCACAAGTGCAGCACGCATACCAAGATGTCAACATCTTAGAAACCCGTAAGCACATGCACTGAGATCCCGCTGCTAAGAAAAAATGGACTTCACAGTTCAATCAAACCACAGAAGTACAACTGTGTTTCTTCTGAAAGCAATAATTACATTGTAAATCTTTTATATTAAGAACAAGAAAATCAATTACTGTAAATGCAGAAATGATATTCAGTTTCCAAATACAGTCTAATGTACTTCTAGATATCTGTGCATACAGATAATATAGGAATAACTAAACTGCTTTTCATAAAAACACCTGTGTGCAATGCTAAACCATATAAAAGGCTATAAATATAAACCAGCAGCACGCTAGACAGAGCAATTAAAAACACCTACATGAAAAACGTTGGCATTGACACCTTATATATTCATGTCAAACCTGAGCAGCCTTAAAGTGACACTAAACTCAGGAGTTAAATCTTGAAAATTAATTTATGTTTCTTAACTATAAATACAAAAGTATCTTATTTTGTATCACTCGGCTGTAGATCCTCAAATCATCTCTGAATACATGCTACCACTGTCCTTCCTTCTGGAGGGTGGTTACTTTTGTTCCCCATGGTCCCTGTGTGTGTTGTAAAGTAGCCACCTCTCCAAGCTCACTCACGTGATGGACTACAATCTCGTGTTTAGTTTACTCATTTGTTTTGAGATTGTAGTCCATCACATGAGTGAGCTTGGAGTGGTGACTACTTTACAACACATACAAGGACCATGGGGAACAAAAGTAGCTATCCTCCAGAAGGAAGAATAGTGTCACCACCAATTCAGAGACGATTTGAGGATCTACAGCCGAGTGATTTTTCTCATTCAGCCCTGCAGGCTCAAAGAAAAAAAAAAAAAGACTTTATTTCACCATTCCTGCTAAAAAGTGTGGATGGAGGTTTTCCACCCTTTATTTTCACATCCAGCGCACACAGCTGTCTGAATACCCAATCAGTGACAGCAGCTGGCTGGCTACAGTCACTGTGCAGCCGACAATTTTCCACCTCAAAATATAAAAAAATTTACTTCTGCCAAGCTGGGTGGTGCCTGTTGGGCCACCTATGGAACGAACTATAGGCAGAAATGGACAAAATGCAATGCATTTGTGGGCAGCTTTATTCCTACAGAAGTCTAAGCCCTGTGTTGCACTGTACATCTCTAGAACTGAAAGCTGGATGTACAGAAATTTGAAATAACCAATAGCAGGCTGGTTTTTGCTCCCCATTGTCCACATTTTGCTGTGGACCACAAAATCTAGCCGGCAGCAAGATGTAAGTATTGAATTTGGTTAGCAATTGAATACATTTAGTTAGTAACCCAATTTTTTAGTGTCCCCATGTCCATCAAGCAACCGCAAAAAAAAATTGAGGACATGTTTGTCCTCGATTTTTTTTTGCCGGTTGTTTGAGAGTTTGAGAGTGGCGGTTGCTTGAGAGTGGCGGTTGCTTGAATGCCAACTAATGGAAGTTTACTGTAAATAATTATTTAAGTCCTAGGCTCCTTAGTGCCATCTAGTGACCATAATGCCATATTACATTGCATTCAACCTGAAAAGAAAATATACCAAGAGCATTGATTATGCTCTATTCGCATTGTATTATCTGGTCAGCTACCACTCACTAAGCGAGATTGGTTCCATGAAAGTCTGTGAATAAATCATTTATTTCTTATTTTTTTAGCCAGACTTTATGTGTTACAAAATGGACCGTGCTAAATTCTAGAACCAGGGCATGCAACCCGGGTCTCCCTTGCAGAAATCGCTGTCACAATAATGATTCTGTAGATAAGCATACTTCATGCTTTAGCAGACACAGTCTGCACTAGGAACACCTATCTTTTCTAACAATTTTCTAAAATATTAGGCACATCATCTGAACCGGTGAATCCAGTAGGTCTATGTCCATTACCCATAAAAATATACATTCCATCCACAAACCAGTTAAGATTTTTCTCTAGGTATAATGTCATAGGTCACAACTGCAAATACCTGATATATGGATGTAGCATTGCAAATGATGAATATGCAATTCAGGTACTGTGGCAAAAAATTAAATTACAATTCATATATTTTGTCTTCTTGAAATGTACCTGCCCATGTCATACTATATCAACCATTTTTTTTCCTAAAAGAATCACAGTTTCATTTTATATAAATATTATTTTGAATTTCACAGTTACATAAAATGTTGCTTAGATCATTGGTGTATATTATAACAATATCAGTTATCATCAGTTATCTTTGAAGTATATGTCACGCCAAAAGCTTTTTTGCTAGGGTGGCATAGGATTAGGAGTCCTGTATGGTTTTACTGCTATCTGGGGTTTTGTTAAGAGAGATTCAGATTTAGGCCTCCTTCTGAAAATGGCCGTGCCTGACATCAATATGTTTCAGTCACAGTCATGTGATAAGCATGCTGTAAATGAATTTCAGAACTCCTTATCGCTATACTTATTCAGGGTCAGTTAGTCAAACTACATTAAAATCAAAGCATCAGCATGACAGCCAGGGAACTAGCATTCTAAAATAAAAAATACATAAATAAATAAAAAAGGGAGTTCACTAATGGCAGCCTCCATTAATTCTCATGACAGTGTCCTTGTAGATTCAAAGCAAAGAGAATTGAGGTAGGTATGCACAGTGCCGCAAACCAGAGTAACCAAGAATATTTCAGTTTACAGTAGTCAGGTCAATAAAAAAAAGTAAATTCAGAATGGTGGATATAGAAAATACATTTTAGGATAATGTGCCATTTTTTATACATTTCCAGTTTCTTTGTACTCAGTCAGTACAACCAAGCCCATTGGGAAATCTGCGAGCAGGTGAGAAAGGGACACGAGATAATTATCATACATATTACATTATTGTTTTGCTTAGGGTTAATTTTGCTTACCTCAGGACTCTTGCGGTTTTGTAAAATCTGTTTATCAGTCTCCTTGGAAGCAAAATACCTGGTACAGCCTCGATTCAAATACTGCAGAAAAGAAAGAACATGAACAAGAAATTAAATGTGGCTTAAGGAATGGCAGAGGCAAAAATTGCACCTAATTAGACAGTATTTCAGTGTCTGAAATGTACTGAATGAGCCATATCATAAACACGCAAGTCGAAATGAAGACATTGGCAGTTGTCATTATATCAAAATGATGTATGATCCATTTTAGGGTCATTTGAGAGTCTGTAAGCCCTGAACCATAAACACTGAGCAGACAGTAAACCAAGTATTGTTAACATAAGCAATTAATCAAAATGACACAATAACGTCAGACATCTAACGGAACAAACAAGTTGTCTAATATTTCAGTACAAACTGTACGGATATATTGCTACTGGACAATTAGGAAGCCAGGCGGCGTGTCATTACCCACCACCCGGCTTCTTGATTGCCCGGAAGTCGACCCCATTCTGTTTGGCCGGCTCGATGCTGATTGGCCGGGAAGTAGACAAATCATTCCCCTCACATAGATCCTTAGCAGCAGTCATTACCATACCGGTCCCTCGGCCAGCTGGGCAGACACTGCTCTCCAAGCTCTCCCGTATCTACCCACGTCTCCTGTGTGTACAGCGTCCACGTGATCGGCCCTCAGCCTGCTACTACGCATGCACAGACTGCCCAGGGCTCTCATTCAAAAATTCTGTGCATACGCAGTAGCAGGCTTGTAAAATTTCTGGAAACATAACAGACTGTTTAGGTATGGGGGCTTAGGCTGAGCCTCTGTTTTGGGGAGTACAGCATATCAATTCAGTAGTATCTACTGGAATCAGTGTGATCAGATGGACTTTCAGGTACATTAAACAACACAAAGGAAAAGTCAATGCTAAAGTGCAAAGTTCACTAGCCCATAACACTCAACCAGAATACACACCTGTGCAGGTTTTCATTTTTACAGGCCATGGTATAGCTTGTAGTGGTTAAGTTAAATTTAACTAGACTTGTTTTATAATGCTGAACTCATTTCAATAACTAATCTAATTTTTTCCTCAGATGAAATGAGTGTTGGAGAGAAAAAACTTTGCATAGGCTTATGTGGCTATTAATTCGGGAGCATATTGTCAACACATGTTTGAACTGAGGTAGTCACTTAGCTGAGTGCCAAAACATTACTGAATGACTGACTAACTGAAGATTCAATATACTGCCCCCATATGAGACCTTCCCTAAGTCACCTTATACACAAATAGAACAACAATCTTCATATGCAAACCTTTGGCTGTAAAGACTTGGAAGTAAGGCCGGGCACCACTTGCAGAATCCTTAGTGCCAGTGGCCTGTTCATTACAGTACATGCACAGTCCTCCTCCATAGAGACGAATGGATAATCTATTTCCCTGCTTGGCAGGTAGTTCACTCATTTCTATGGAAGAAGCGTGTTAATCTGGACATGAATATAATGAGAAGGGCAATGGGGGGGGGCCTTATGACAGTTTACTGACATTTCAGTTGACCTGTAAGATAGAAAAGAAACTAGAAACTGGGAACTGGGAAAAGACTAAATATCAGAAATTGAAATAAAGAATGCAAAACTAATGAAGAACTGAAGTACTGGTCAGGGTGAATGTGCCCTCTGTATGCATCTCAAGGCACTGTTATCAGTTTTGACTGGAGTATGCCAATACTATGTAAATTGGGGTTGTATACACCAAATAAAGGCTAACACTTTCACAGGATTCATTAGTATTATCAAATAAGTTAATTTGAACTGAAGCAAGAAAAAGGATTCTGTTCAACTAGCCATTTAACATCTGTTCAAGGTACCAGTTGTCAGAGGGTAGTGTAATCTTTAAAATTCCTTGTGGCATCTACAATTAAAAACATATCTCACTCTGCATGTTTTAGTGGAAATCACAGTGTTGGTGATAACGTAAAGTAATGAAATATGTGGGAAGAAGCAGCATGTTATAGTTGGCAGCACACCTAGCACACTCTAATTTAGGGCTTTAGCTGTGCACAGGGAAAACAGATTATTATCCTCCACCAGAGACATCGACGGCACTAAAGTTAAACATCTTACTTATAAGCTTGGCTACAGTTTGTCTTTTAAAGTAATTGCAGTTTCAATAGACCTGACATTTCTGTTTGCAGTCTCCAGCCCACAGAGAGGCACCATCTGATAGGTTTCATTTCAATTTTAATCATTTCAGAGGGGGTTTTTTTTCTACATCAGAACACTCGCTAAGAGTAATGTTCTCCAACTGAGACATTAGACTTTCCAAGCCTACATGATGCAACCTGACTGCTCTCTGCAGTTGACTAATCAGCAGCGTCAGCCAGCAGTCTTCACAATCTAAGGGTCATTTACTGGATCATTCACAATTGTCAGCCAAACATGTATATCTGATCTAAGTGATTACTACCATCCTCAGAAAGAAAAAAAGATGAGCTAAAACCTGACAGGCCACATGCCAGCTCACTTAGAGATCTTCAAAGATAGTCATAAATCAGAAGAACTGCAAAAAAGAAAAATGTGCCCCAATTTACTAGAGATAGCTTTAGCCACAGAGAAAATCGGTCATCATACCATGCTAATAAAAAGGGACATTTTTTTTTTTTTTGTCTTTTTTTCTGCTTGCCCCATGTGCCAAAAGAGAAGCTAGATTTAGTAGCTTATAAAATGCACATGCAATACACACTGGCCTTCTGATATGGGCAGTTCAAGGTATCAATGATTGACATTCAGTCTTTGCATTGTTAAAACATTCTTATTTCTTATGGTTTTCTTTTTCACTTAAGCAGCAACGGTCGTTCTTGAGGTTCCATTCATCTGCAATGAAAAGTCACTTTCACATTCTCTTATGACAGCTGCTGGCTTTAGATGCTACCAGAAAACCTCACAGCCAGAAAGAATAAAGCGAAGTACAAGAGTCACATCTGAGTGTATGTATAATTCACTTACAACCACTTCTATCAGCGCCTGCAGGCCATTAGTTTTATACTTTCACCAAGCCAGCATCTCTTTCAAAACAAGTTCCTACTGGATGAATTAAGTTATTAACCAAATCAGGGGACCATGGGAATTACCAAGGTTTCCAAAAGCTAGTTGATTCATTTATTCACTATGAAAATCATTCTTTTTGGATTGGGATACTCCTGTGTGCAGGTATGTGGTATAGGGATATTAAGGTAACAGAAACCTAACACAGGACAGTGGAGACCCAGAGATCCCAAATGTATTATCTGCTAAATTATGATTAATGCAAAAAGTCCTTTTAATTAAAAAAAAGGACAATTTTCCCAGTTCATAGAGTGGGGAGGTCCCAACCTACTTGCTCCCACAATGGAGCTGGTGTGTTGTACACAAAGCTCTTGTCAATGTCATCACCCCATCCATAGTACCAGTGGTCTCAAGAGCCCAGTGTTCAACAGTATCATGCCTCCCCCCTTTAAGACATAATCTAGACTTTTGGCAATGTATTATAATTACAAAACAAATATATTTTATAATACCAGGGGCTTCTAGTTGTACAATAGGGAGCTAATTTAATGCTGAGATACACCAGAAACACAATATGTCCCCAACCTTACCAGAACAAACGCTGTTTTTATATATATATAGTACATTAACATTATACAATTTTATTTACGTACCCTTTCCCCGTAGTTAAATTAAGCTGCACAGGAATAATCCACATAATTATTATGGTTTTCCTAGGATTCATCTACCTAATTGTTATTGCTTTCCTACTGAGAAGTAAGAATTCCGACCACAATGTGGTTACCATAATTTGCCACCCAACAACCTAAAAAACTAATACTAGAATTTAAAAGTACAGGGACAGGTCCTTAAAAAAATTGGAATTCATGGACCTTCCCAGAAGTCCAAATGGTCATCAAAAAAAAAAGATGTACGCAAAGAGAATACTTATCCATTATTTCTTATAATAGAGTACCTCTTATTTCCTGTATAGCTTTCTATAAATACAAAGCAAACGCTCATAAACCATTAATAAGTGACCCTACAGAGAACCGGAAACCAGCAAGAAAAAAAATGTCACTCCAGAAAGTGTTTCAGAGCATCCTTACCTGCTACAATGCAGGGATAATTGAAAGTCAATGATTTATTGACTATGCCCTCTTTCATTATAGAACATGACCTTGTGTTTAAAACATCAGCTGAAAGGTGCAATATTGCTCTGACCACTCAAGCATCAAAGATTATTGCTTTGCCCTTAAAAATGAACCAATTTTCTGTACATCCTTTTTAATTCAAAGCTTAAAAGAATAAAGCCTTACATGTTAGCTCTCCTAGACAAAAACAAATCTTCATGGAAAACAATAAAAAAAGTGTTCACTTTACACTTAACCAATGATTTTGAGCAGATTAACAAAATTATTTATATATAATTTATATATAATTTATAACAAAGAATTACAGAAGACTTTGGGCAGCCATACATGGAGCCTATTTCTAAATGATGTGACTGTATAGTCATGATTAGTTAGCAGCAGGACACACTTGATAAGCTATAAATGTATGGCAGCAGAAGCTTTTGATCTTCTTTTGGATCATATAGTGAAATGTGCATTTCAACTGATCTTGCATGTTTACAGCAGCCTCTATGTGTTTAATCCACTGACAAAACCATCACTGTGGCCACCTAGCACACAATATGCTATGCCACTGTGGATCAGAAGGTTTCCTCAAGTGATGAGGCATATTTCCCCCATCCTACGCATCATACTTGGAAGCAACATGTAGCAAAAATCTTTGCAAAATATTGTTTTCCGTTCTCCGTAAAGGGAGTACACCTTTTGCAGCAAGTGTGCTGAAGTTAAAATGTTGGGAACAAAGACAACATTGGGTTAGGTGAAGCAACAATTTTATCATATTAAACATACAAAGAGGACATCATAAAGGGATGGCATTTTAGTTTGAAATACACAAAATACTGCAACTTTACCCATCTTTCAATCTACATATGCTCCAAAATAGTTGGTCTCTGGGCTCAAATGTTATTGAATGGGCATGTTTCAAAACAGCATTCAGTGATCACTGTACACTAACTCAGATGGTATTAGGTTTAAGGTTAGTTTAGATAATTCATTACTGAAACAACTGAGAGACAGTTGGTCTAAAAAAAATCATCATGTTTGTGTACATTTGCACAAATTCCAAAGAGGATTACCAGTGATACCTACCCTAAAATTATCAGGGGAATTCAAGAAAAGTTTCTGGCGAATTTCTTCTGGTGCTCCGGCACACAACCTGTAGAAAATATGGTAGTTTCTTTCATCTTGTCCTTGCACACATATGCGGGACTTCTCCAAGAGGTAGTGAGATACAAATCCCCCTACTACAGAATGCTACAGGAAAAGAAAAAAAGCAAAGGTTTAGCAAAGTAGTTGACAGCAATGCTTTTAAAGGTGTTCTCTACCATAAATTAAATAATTTAAAGCTGCTTTGAATCCTCTAAGTAGTAAGATGGTGGTTACTTCTTTTAAGCCCACTTGAAAACTACATTGCTAGGAGCACAGTATGAGAAATTAAGGATAATATCAACACCCTCACTCTGGTAGCCAATTAGTCTTTAGCCATCTCTTCTTCCTTTGTAATTTCTTGATTAGTGGATTTTGTAGCCTAATATTATTTGTACATAAAAAGTGAACAATGTAATACCTCCAATTATTTATTCTAGTTTAATGCAATAATAGTTATAATTTGTCATGTATAATTAGTATGCCTAGGGCAACATGAGGTCTAAATAAAGTCCTTTCCATAGAGGATCATTGTAGCTAGAGGTCTGCATTCCCATATTAGATGTAACCGTGGCTCTAAGCTTTTATTTAAAAAAAAAAGGATGGTACAGAATGCGGCACAGCTAAGCACTAGAATCAGATAGAATTTCTTTGAATATATGTTGGAAGCCACTTCAAAGAAACAGAAGCTCACAATGCTTACAAAATCCTATTTGATCTCCAAGATTATCAATTACTTTGCAGAGAGATATAGAAGAATATAAATTACATTATCAACACATTATATTTCTGAACCAAAAGAATTTCTAGTGTTCCCCAAACCATTAGGCAGGACCGGCTCTGTTTACACATTTGACAAACAGATGACACTGGTGTATGCACATACAGTATACAATAAGCTTCCATTACTATACTCTACATTGTACAACATAACCAGAAAAGAATACAATTTTCTCTGGTTTATGTTAAAAGAAGCCAAATAGCAAAACTCAATTAAACTCTTAACCTATAAAGCATGATATACAGTGAATCCCACTGGTGCTGGGGAAAAACTGCAGTCTCATGTCACTACTGGAAAAGGTTACTCTCATTATCAGACTTGGCTTCTAGATAAAAGCTCACTCAGCAACGGCATAACCTTTACTGTAATACAAATCTGTACGTGGGACACCGGGGAACATACATATTGTTTGTTTTCTATTTATTTGGAAAGAGCAGGTCGAGAGATCAGTTTTGACAGTATTAAAGGTTGCCACCTCACACTGCAGTGTCAGATCTGGGGCGATATGTCATGGCATAGCTTGGAAGACAGTTATATCTTATTGCCTTTTTTGCTTTTCCTGCTTCTTTGTGAAACCATCATTTACCAGTTTCACGAAAATTATGTTTTATCCTGCTTCTTTCTGGCTGCTAGCCATGATTTGCAAGATCCGCCTCATAGCACAAATGGAGTACCAACTTTCAGGTATAGAAATGAATAATGTTAATACAGCAGTTTATCTACACCTATTAAGCAGAAAATAAACATCGCAGTGAAGGAAATGCATGGCTGGGTGTTCCTATTAATCTTAATTTAGATGACTATTCTTGAGAGTACACTGCTTGGCCACACAGAATGAAATCCACTTATCTAGTCGCCGGGAGTCCGTTTAAACAGCCCTGATGCTGGCGACGTACACTGTACGTCGTCAGTCACGAAGGGGTTAAAGAGAGTTTAACTATGATATTTTAAAGAGAGCAATAGGGTATATTCAGGCTTAAAGTAATCAAATTATATGTGAAACATAGTTGTCACATACAGCAATACTTTAAATAGCATCTGTTTATGGCACATACACTGATAACCCATAACATTATGACCAACCACTTAATATTGAGTAGGTCCCCCTTTTACCACCAAAACAGCCCTGACCCGCCAAGACATGCACTCCACTAGACCTCTGAAGGTATGCTCTAGTATCTGGCACCAAGCTGTCAGTAGCAGATCCTTTAAGTCCTGAAGGTTGCGAGGTGTGGCGTCTATGGATTGGACTTGTTTTTCCAAGACATCCCACAGATGCTCAATCTGATTGAGATCTGGAGAATTTGGAGGCTGTCAACACCTCAAACTCATTGTTGTGATCCCCAAACCATTCTTGAACCATTTTTGCAGTGTGTCAGGGCCCATTACCCTGCTGAAAGAGGTCACGGCCTTCAGGCAATACTGTTTCCATGAAGGGGTGTCTCGGTCAGCATCGATGTTTGGGTATGTTGTATGTGTAAAAGTAACATCCACATGAATGGCAGAAGCCAAGGTTTCCCAGCAGAACATTGCCCGAAGCATCGCACTGCCTCCTTCAGCTTGCTTTCTTCCCATCCTGGTGCCATCTCTTCCCCAGGGAGATGACACACACACACCCAACCATCTACATGTTGTAAAATAAAATTAGATTAATCAAACCAAGTCACCTTCTTCCATTGCTCTGTGGTCCAGTTCTGATGTGTAGGGCACACTGCTTTTGTTGGAGGACATGGGTCAGCATGGGCACCCTGACAAGTCTGGGGCTTCGCAGCACCATATGCAACAAACTGCAATCCACCTTGTGTTCAGACACCTTTCTATCAGAACCAGCATTAACTTTTTCAGCAATTTGAGCTACAGTAGCTCTTCTATTGGCTCAGACCACACAGACCAGCCTTTGTCTCCCCACATGCAATCGATAAGCCTTGGCTGCCAATGACCCGGATTGCCGGTTTACCGGTTTTCCTTCCTTGGACCACAATTGTAAAATTTCCATGTTAGGATAAACATTTTAGAACTAGCAGACATTAGAGACCATATGCTCTAAAAACAAACACTGCTTATCTGCACAACAGTGTGGCGGAGACTAGTTTCCCCTGCATACATCTTAACCATGGGAGTTGTGTAAAGGTCCCCACACACCTTACGATAATCGCACGATAATCGCGGGAAATCCCGCGATCGTACGATTATCGTAAGGTGTGTGGAAGCCGTGCGACCTCTACCACTGTAAGGTCGCACAACTTTTAACTTACGGACATGTTCGAAAACCCGCCGAGCATCGTACGATGTTCGGCGGGTTTGTGGCATGTCCGTACGATAAAAGCCGTACGGGCCGGTGTGCGCAAGCGCACACTGCCCGTTCGGCATTGCGGTCATCGGAAGCCCGCCCCTCAGGGGGCGTGGCTTGCGATCATCGCAAGTACGATCTGCCTATGCAAGATAGGCAGATCTTACGTTTTTTTAAGTACCTTACAACCATCGCAAGACAAAAGTCTTGCGATGGTTGTAAGGTGTGTGCCCAGCCTTAAGGAACACAAAGAATGACTTGTAGAAGAGGAAAAGAAGATTGCCCAAATCTGCCTCAACCCCACCCAAATGTTTCAATAACAGGAAAAAACAACACCCAGTGTGCTGACCTCTGTCCCTTTCTTATTACAAAATGTAAGACTGTTCTGCCAAAGCAGGGGCAGTTGGTAGGGATGAAGGGTATACCAAAGGAAATGCACTTAAGAGAGTACATCTTTGTATTGCAAAATAGACCCCTGAGATCTAGTCTGCAAATGAAGGATTGTATTTCTCATAAAAGAACAATTAAAGCAGAACTCTAGCAAAAGTATTTTTTAAACCACTGACTTAACCACTGAGTGGTTAAGCATTAGAAAAAAACGTCAGTTTTTTTTAAAATTATTATTGTAGTCTGTGTCCTGTTGATCTCTGTTGATTCCAGCACAGTAAGGCCCCGTTCCCACTGCGCGATATGCAAATCGCGCGATTTGCATTGAGCAAGCTTGAATCGCGGCTAAATCCGCTCCCAAAAGGGTCCTGCTGTAGCGACACACAACCCGTGACAGCAGGACCCTTTGCCCCATTGGATTGCATTGGAGCGCGATATCGCGCGGTAATTTGCCGCGATATCGCGGGAATTACCGTGCGATAAATCGCTTAATGTGAACGTGGTCTTAGTAAGGGGGCATCTTCCTAACAGAGAAAACGAAGGAAATAAAAATGGAGATTCTACCCTTCCCCACTCTATCCTAATCAGGGAGGAAAGAAACATCCTAACTGGAGTTCCACTTTAAGCCAAAAGGTTAATTAACAGGCACTTTCCTTTCAATAAATCTCACATAAACATATGTTACATCATTTCAGATACCTACTGAGAGGAATTTATCAAAACTGGAGCAGCTGTGCATGGCAACCAATCAGCTTCTCTCTTTCATTTTCAAATCTTTACTGAGCAAACTGAAGAGAGAAGTTTAATGGTTGCCGTGGACAACTGCTCCAGATTTTGTCTGCTCCAGTTTTGATAAATCCCCCCCGTCTGCTATGTGCAAGACTATTCTACTCCTGAATTCTGTTACTAGCTCTCAAAAAGCATGGTTACAGGGCTTTTCCAAAAAGCCTTCAAGTGCTGTGACACTTTGCTGGCATACTTTATTTAGTGTTAATGTGTGGTTTACTGTTTCATTTGTACTCAGTCAGGTTTGCTTGAATCGGTATGGGGAAATCACTATATCCATGCCAATGTAATGATTCTCAAACCCATTATACACAAACAGTGCTGTGCATTAAACTGAACTGGAAGGGGAGTGCACCCACATTACTGTATACTGTACTTTTAAATATGCTGGAAGACTGTAGATCTATCTCAGTATAAACCTATAAATGTACTGTATATAACATAGAAGGGTTTTACTCAACAATGTAGAAACATGATATAATAATTACCTTTTCATTGAAGTGTATTTCTACAAATTTTCCAAAACGGCTGCTGTTGTTATTCCGCACAGTTTTTGCATTGCCAAAGGCCTCCAACAAGGGATTCGCTGTATGGATATACACATAATTGTTAGATACAAATACAAGAAATGCTATATCTAGCTCAGAAATGTTTCAGTGGCAAATACACAGATTGCTTGATATTCCTATCAAAAGGATTTGTCAATTGTCAGTCGTATTTTAAAACACAGCAATCTAGCAAGATTCTCTTTTTAAAGAAAAACAAATACCAGCCGAGATCCTATAATCCAAAACAAATCTACCATAGTATAATTAAATACATAAAGTCTAGTAAGCATATGCTAAATGTATATTTGACAGATTGTCATTGCTTATATAACATAGTAAATCAATATGCCAACAAAATAAGTCACTGATAGCCAAAATATTTTAACACCAACAAAATGGCCTGATAGATCTGTTTATATTGTCTTATGTTCAATTCAGTCAGGTCAAAAACTGTAACTACATATATTCATATACTGTACATAAGCCCGATCCAGCCTTAACCCTCAATCCCCCCCCACCCTTCCCCAGTCCTATCCCCTCCATAATTTGAAGTATACCTGCCTTTTTTCCTCATCACTGCCTTTTCTCCAACGCTGGGTGGTCTGTAATGATGCAGAGAGCAAGGCTGAAATAATGGGGCCAGTTACTCTCTGCATCATTGGACTGGGAGTACAGGGTGCCCTTATGTTGCATGCCCAGTTACAGGAAGTGGGTTGAATAATGCTGGGTGTAATTCTACCTGGAAGTGAACCAGCACTGGACCAAAACGCAATCGTTTTTTTTGGAGGGGGGGGGTTCAGTTTAAAAACAGATGGCCAACTCATGGATCAAGTAGGGAATGGTTTCAATTCTGCCTTGTCAGGTTGTGCTTTTTTTTTCCGCCTATGTCTCTCATTAGAAAGATTCTCACTTCCTGTCCTAAAGACACAACAGAAAGTGAGTGCAAATTGCCTCACTCTAATAAAGAAGAGGAAAAACTCTTACTCTTGGTACGAATGCCAACAACTACAGCAGGTATGTCAATCAATAAGCCTAGCTGGTATTTCAAAGGATGAAAAGCTGATGAACTCTAAAATGTACTTACAGACCTACTAATGCTTGGCCTTAACCCAAAAATGCAACCTCTCCAATTATCACAACTGGCAAGGCATTATTCTTAATTCTATCACTGAAATGACAGCTCCTTCAGTCCTTTAAACATTCAAATGGATGGATTTTGACCTTAAAAACCTTCAATTAAATTACCACACTATATATAATCATAGAGTAGTCACATGAATGGTGTTCTCAACTCTCAATGCTCCGTAAATGCATATTTGAAGCCATATCCCAACCCAAGACCTGGAATTATATAAGGCAAAAAAAGCTCAGCACAAAAACAAATGGGGATGGGACCCAACAGGAAGATTAGATTTAGTGATGTCCTAAGAGACATGAAGACCAAGCTTGCTAGACCTCAAAGTGAAGCAAAGTGGGACTAAAGGCTCACCTCTCTCCACCTCCACTATGGTAGTGGAATGTTCCTCAGCGCCCTTATGTCTAATGCACTTGCAATACAAGTGATGTCACAGGTCCTGCAAGGACCGGTCTAGCAGCCAGGCGGGACCAAGTATCGGGTGAATATATCTGATTTATTTTAGCCACTAGACCAAAACTGAGCAGCTAACCCTTGCACTGCAGATCCAACCCCATTGCAAGGGTTAGCTTTTACAATTCCTGGAGTTCCTCTCTAATTTCCCTGCATCTACTTCACACTACACATATTTATGAGCAATGTAATATTACTCCTACTGCACACAGCATCTGAGTTCACCAATGATGTAGTACAAGTTTTTATTATCTTCTGCTTGCACAGAATCATGCATATGTATTGGACACAAACAATTGACAATAAAGGACTTTAGATGAGAACAAAGCAGAGAAAGATAAACATGGAAATTAGACAGTGGAAATTGGGTGGCTTAGTCATACTCTTGGAAGATCTGATACAAAAGACTGAACCCTCAAAGCAGTCACAACACAGGAAGGCCCAGAATGACACAGAAGAGAATAGTATTAGAATAAGCTGGGCAAAACCTGGAGAGAAATAGATACTGGCCAAGAATAGGACCAGACAACCCATAGAGGTGTTCAGTTCTTCAGAAGGGAGAAAGCATGAATGATTCACACTTATCAAAAACCTTGAAAGAGAACTGTGGGGTAAGTGTTTTTCCCCATAGTTTTCTTTAGGGTCACTGGAGGACATATACTAACTTTCTGCCGTGACCCAAAGCTCAGTATATAATTTGCTTTTGCCTGCGATATACTGAGAGGGAAATTTATCAAAACTGGAGCAGACAAAATGTGGAGCAGTTTCCCATGGCAACCAATCAGCTTCTACCTTTGGTTTGTGCAGTTACGATTTGAAAATGAAAGAGAAGCCGATTGATTGCCATACACAGCTGTTCCAGATATTGTCTGCTCCAGTTTTGATAAATTCCCCTGAGAGACAATACTGTCTGGATCCACCGAGCTATGTGAGTGACAGCTGGCTCTGCCTATCTAGAGGCAGACCTAGCTGTACCCGCCCCTCCCCCATTCATTCCTCTACTCAGCCCTGGAGGATCGGAGAGGGGAGGGGGGGAATCCCTATGGGGAGCAGTGACTGACAGTCACCGCTCTCTTCAGGGAGATGATCAGAAAGTGAGCGAGCGATGGTATGTGTTCACTCACTTCCCGATCAATTGAGCTGACCTGTGACAGCTTCTTTGTCACAGGTCGGCTCCAACTATGAGGATGAGTGGAAAACACTCACCTCATAGTTCTCCTTTAAGTTTTCAGTAAATTCCAAACACTGACAAAATGGTAAGGATGACAAACCTAAAGCTAGTGCTTCAAAACAAAATAAGGCATTAATGGAAAATAAATAGTTGTATGATCACAATTTCCTTCAATTTGCCAAAACTATTAAGTTAAATGACACATGTGACAATGAAACAAGAAGTGCTACATGGCTGGGCTTTCAGTTGCAAGCAGGGAAAGGTCAGGGCACCGAGCTTTATCTCATTTTTGAGAATAATTTTGCTTCTTTAGAGTTTTCAGAGTCACCAAATGTTATATATGACCTCCAGTTTATTAACAGTATCTTAAAATTCAAACTGAAAGCATCCTTACCAAATGCTGAGGGGGAAAATGTAGGTGGGCATACCAAACCATTGGAAAGAACAAATGAGAAAAGAGGTTGTACTTTTACAATGTATCCCAAAAAAAGGACAAGTAGTGTTCTACTCTGCATTCAGCAAGACTTTAGCATCGATAGTGGAAATGTATAATGATCTCTGAAATCAAATTTAGTTTTTTTTATGCTGGCGGGTGCCGCTTTCCCCATGGCTTCATGGATATGTAGACAAAGGCTAAGTCATACCCAGACATCAGCCGACACACATCTCAAGCCCTTGATTTATCTAATGAGTGAAAACTTTAACCACCAATGTCCTTAATATTTTACAACAAGGTTATTCTACTGAACCTCATTACATGAGCCAGTCTTTATTTCACTTTATTCTTTATGCTGCTGGCTTACTGATCAGAGCCACCAAAAGGACCTGTTACTTGACTCTTATGTGACTTTTAGCTTTACCATCCCCTAATGGACCCCTCAGTCAACGAAAAGCAATGGATCAACTGATACTGTACTTTTCAGCACCATCACTACTAACTGACTATCATCTAGCATCAGCCATATATAAATACAATTTCAAATTCTGTAATATAATTCTGCCTAATTCTTCATCATCTGCTATGCTACCAAGTTCAAGATGGTGATGATACGGCCACACCCCAGGATAGAATCTTCTTCGTCATCTACATATATCTGATTGTATTGGTGCTTTCAAGGTGCTGCTACAAACTTGAAAAAAAAAGTAAAGAAATCATTATCAGCATCACACTTCCTGCCAAGTCTCCAATGCTGATGTTGCTAGTGCTGTCGAAACCTAGAAAAATTATCTCTAACATAATTCTGTTTTTCTTCTTCTTCTTCTTCATTGTCTCTCTCCCTTGCCAATGGGTTCGCAACACAGCTGTCAGAAATCCAACACTCTATTGTGGTGCAATTTTAAAAACAGAATCTATAAAAACTCTATTTTATCTTATTCCTTAATCACTGGTCTCCCCATCCAGTTCAGTGGCAGAACTACCGCCGGTGCTGCCTGTGCCGCCGCACTGGGGCCTGAGGCTGTGGGGGGGCCCAGCGGGGTCCGGTCCTGGGCACCCCCACTTGTCTAATTACATTACAGCACACAACCCCGGTCCTGCAATATGGGGCAGTGCAGGGCCCCGGTGTTGGAACACTGGGGCCCCGCTCTGCCGACGGGCTTCTCAGTGAGAGGGCGGGTCCTGTGACTCACCTCCTCTCCACTCCCGGCCGCGCCCATAGTAACAGGCGGCGGGAGAAGAGAAGTGAGTCACAGGACCCGCCCCCTGCACACACCGTCTGTCTGAGACTGAGCTGCGGTGAGGATCTGGCTGGGTGAGTTCGAGCAGCGGTGGGATGGTTTGTTGGTGAGGGTTGTGTGCTGTAATGTAAACAAGTGGATTATAATGGGGCATATTACACTGTAATGTTCCCTATTATAATCTATTTCTCTGATTAAATTATTACAGAGCCTCTGTTCTATCAAAGTTTGCGACCACGTTACAATGTGTGACCGGTGACGTGGTCACATATTTTGACGTAATCTTTTTTTCGGTGGTGAAATAGGTGAAGAATCCCAACGCTTTGTCATCTGTTCCAGGGCAGATCGGTATCGCAAATCGTATGTGCAGGAGAACCGATCTGCCCTGGAACAGCTGTTCTGTCCTGAGATGTCACTTCTATCCGACTTTGTGAGTACGGTGGAATGTGAGATCGGAGAGAAGTGAAATTTCAGGAATGATCAGCTGTTTCAGGGTAGATCGGTTCTCTTGCACATATGATCTGCGATGCCGATCTGCCCTGGAACAGCTGGGAAAGCGCTGGAATGCTTCACCTCTTGGTGGTCACACATTCCACCGCAAAAAAACTGGACGGGATTACGTTAAAACGTGTGACCACGTCACCGGCCACAAATTCTAATGTAGTCACAAACTTTGATAGAACACCGCCATCAGGGGGGTATGGCCGGTACCCAGGTGAGGGGTCTGGGCAGCCTGGGGGGCCTCTTACACGGGAATCAACTGTACTGGGGCGGCATGGCAGAGGTGACAGGGGAGGGGGGTGGAGGAGGCCGGGCCCCAGCAGCAGCATGTAAGAAGAGTTTGGAGGATGTTCAGGGAAAGGGACCCCGATGACCAGACCAGCCTACCATAAAGAGTCTCAGGTGGGCTATGCAGGATCTGAGGGGGGCCCAAGATAAAATGTTTTGCACCAGGGCCCTTTGGTTATTACGTCCGCCACTGATCCAGTTGGCTCATGAATTTAACATTGCATCTCTGTTTGAAGTGTATGAAACGTCTTTAGAGCGTCACAGTGTGATTTATAAGAAAGTCCTCTATTTTTCTAATATACTTCATCAGCAGCTGCATATTGATGGTACTGATGTGACAACCCAAATAAAACAAAATAAAACAGATTCTCTATTTTTCTTCAGGGTCAGCTATCCAGCTCACATGCTGTTGCTCTCACAAAGCTGCTCTGAAGATTAAAAAACAATTTTAAAAAATCATAGCCATCTTCTATGCCCAAAGGTGAAAGGTGTATGACAAATCAATAAGAAGCATAACTCCTCCATTTTACCACAAGAAACATATGCAATACATGCATCATTTGCGAGTCATGGCAGATATTCATGTCTCAAACCAGACTGTGGGGGCCAAGCAGAAGAATGGGGGAACAGTAGGGAGACTACTCTACCATTCTAGACATTTCCCTTTACTTCCTGTTTTGTACATACAACAAAATATTTGGATTTTCCCTCCCTTTTATCATCAGGATCAATAAAGAAAGTATATCTCTTCAGAGGCCTCTAAACAGGCAGATTAGACGGCCACTTCCTCATCGCTAGGACCCTGTGAGCGGCCGTCTAATCTGCCTGTTTAGAGGTGCAGAGATGAGACCCCAGGGATGCAGCCCACCTCCCTGCAAAACAGGTAAGCAGGAGAGGGGGCAATGTTTTATTTATTCATTTTTATTAGTAGTTCTGTGTGTAATGTGTGTTTTAATAAGTGCGTGATGTGTGTGTGTTTCATTACATGTGTATGTGTTTTATTAAGTGTATAAATGTTTGAATATGCGTGTTTCCCTATTTTGCCTAAGGCCCCATTCACACTGTGCGTAAAATCCCACTATTTCTCACATTTTTGCTGGGCGAAACCGCGAGAAGTCGCCGGCCAATGTTATTCAATGGAGCTGCTCCATGTCGCCCGTCGCTTCAGCAGGACCCTTTTTCCCGCGGATGTCGCGTGATGTTTCTATTTTTGAATGCTGCCCGACGGTGAAGGTCGCGTGATCGTCACTGGAACGTCGCCCTGAACAGTCGCGCTATCCTGGCCCCGCTTGTAAGGTATGTCGCTTGGTGTGAATGGGGCCTAAGGCAGTGATGTTGAACATTTCTTAAACCCGAGCGCCCGAACTGCAATACAGTACTAAACGTATTTCCAGCGCTGGCACTTTGAGGTAAATAAATTGATTTTGCGTCGCAGTTTGGGCACTCGGGTTCAAAAAGGTTCGCCATGACTGTCCTAGAATCCCTGGGAAGGTGGCTGTATTCCAGGCTTTGCCCCTTTATTTTCACCAGTAACATGCTTCCTATCCTATGAAACTATGCCCACTTACCATACTGTATCTATATAGGTGCAGTGTTGTCACTCTGTGACAGGACTGCAGGACACCTCTCCCTCTCCTCTTTATGATTACATAGGGTGAATATATTTTGTAGTCTACAGAGATATCTGGGAACAATGTTACTGATAAGAGTACAGCACAGAGAGAGCAACGGAAGGTTTAAGCTCACAAGATTTCTGGCAGGATCAACAGCTATTTTACAGACCAAATAAGATCAAATAAAATAAGTATTTTGTTAGGGTATGCACACATGTTAAACTCTTTATGTAAACTTGTTGAAAAACAAGAGAAAAAAAGTACCATGTTAAGTCATTGTGAAGAACTAGGACATGACACATTTTGTTTAATACCACACGAATAAGGCCAATTGCAAATCCCAGCACAAGAATGCTTGCAGTCCAAATCCCTCTTGTCTCACTAAAACCGCAAGCCACACCACAGGAATTGCAAAACAAAAAGGTTTTAATACAAGGAGGTAGCAAGTGCCTAAAAGCTGCTAGAGAAGAAAAAGAACACTTCTAAAATGCTGTAAAATATTAAAGCTGTGCACCAACAGCTGGAAATTGGCTTTTATTTATTGCAAAAGTTTATTTTCATGGTCACAACACAGGTAGCAAAGTTTCATTAAAATTGCTTTCTTTGCGAAGGCTTTATACTCATTAAAATAAATGCACTCCTTATTTCTTCCTTGTGAGAAATGATTCAGTGTTTCTGCTTGTTGAGAGTAATGATAGCACAGTAATGATCTTTTAATACCTGCCTGGCAAGCTTGACAACAAAATCCCTTAGTAATGGGACAATGAAATGCATAGTTGGTTCAGGGCATTTCTTTTTTATGAGAACAATATCATAGAAACAATTCCGTGTTTAACAGAAATGTTCAATGTATGTCTTTTTTTGCCCAATTTGTCTGATATTAGAAAGTATACAAAAAGGAATCACACAGAGTGTATGCATTTATTAAGAACTCTACACAGCACACTCAATTTCTAAAAAGCCCCATAAAATAGCAGAAACACTAAGACCCTGCTTGTAAAAAAAAAAAACCTTACTGTTTATGTTGCATCAATGTTTCTAATGTGCAACTAACTCTACAGCATGTCACAGCTATGCCGGTCTGAGCCAAGAGTGGAAAGGAGAAGAACAAATATAGCATATGAGGGTGCAAAGTAATAGGTTTGTATACAAGGTTCTCTCCCATTGCAAATGTAATTTAGTTTTGATTTGCCTATAATTAAGCATATCAACAGCTCCTTCCTCTAAAAGAGCCAGCATTGAGTCATGGGTTCAACTCCCATTTAGGAGACTACATGGATGTTGTATATTCGGTGTGCATTTGTGGCTTTCTCCTGAGTGCTTCCTCCCACAACCCCCAAAAAAGTTCAGCTCATTGGCATTGGTGACTAAAACAAGATCCTACATTTTTTTAAATTAGAACTAAAAAAAAACTGCTACTATTGCAAAATACCCCCCTCTCAATTCCTATACTGAGTTTCCTCAACATGTGCTGAGGATACCTTAATAAACATTCTCCCAGCTAAAGAACCAGAGTATCTCTTAATCATGTCATCACCATTGTAAACTATGATACAGGAATCACACAGGCTTACTTGACAAAATAAGCCCTTAGCCTCCAGAGAGCACTGCAGATGCCACTGCAGCCTGAAAGCAGCCTGAAAGCTGGCAGGTTGCATTTGTTTAGTACTAGAAAATGCCAGCTATAGTTACAGTACTGTCAAGTAAGCATATGCTACTACATTTGGCCTGAGCATCTAGACATGAATTATCAGGTCACACACTGAGCCAAGTTTTTTATAACGTTCACATACCTTCTACAATCCTCTCATCGATATCTTGCCCAGACCCATACGATTCAGTCAGGTACCTATAAGACAATGAAAGCATGTCACTAGTGGAACTGCTTTTACAATACATGGAACATCTGTTTGCAATAACATTTAAATTAGTGGACTGCTTGTGTATGTGTGTGAATGTAAGACCGATATTACCCATAACGATCAAACAGGTATGACAGCACACATCTAGTTTTTTTTGGGGGGTGGGGGGGTTTGTATGATTTGATATTAAGTTTGCATAAATGAAGAATAATTCATCATATGCTATGTAGCGACAGGTTCTTTAGGGACCAGGAATTCAGAGTTAACCTACAATGACACCTAGCAGCATTCAACTTACCATATATACTCGAGTATAAGCCGTCCCGAATATAAGCCGAGGTACCTACTTTTCCAGTGGGAGGAGCTCCAGGTGGGGTCCTAATTTAGCTGGCTTAGAGGGGCCTGCCAGCTAAATTAGAACCCCACCTGGAGCTCCTCTCGCCTGACCAGCGCACCGCTGACTCATCCCTGCTCCTGACTGGCCGCTGCGGGTGTTTTTTTTCTTCTTCTTACTTACCTCGCCGAGCGTTGCGTCGCGTCACTGCTGCTCCGGTGGGCGGCGCTCCGAGCGGTGTCATCTGGCAGTCTCCGGCCACCTAAATTAGGACCCGGAGACTGCCAGATGACCCCGCTCGGAGCGCCGCCCACCGGAGCAGCAGTGACGCGACGCTCGGCGAGGTAAGTAAGAAGAAACCTGACCAGCTCGAGACGCTGACTCGAGTATAAGCCGAGGGGGGCATTTTTCAGCACAAAAAATGGGCTGAAAAACTTGGCTTATACTCGAGTATATACGGTATTCAATTAATCAGTGCAGGCACTGGGGAAGCCTTACTGGGATATAATGGGATATATCATGATATATTTTGCTCAAGTTGCTCAACTGGGCATAGGCGTTGGGATCTACATGCGTTTTACCATTGAACATTCCACCATCTTTCTACTCTCAAGGCTTCCTGTACCACGTTTGCACAAACAACTACCATGGTAAACATATGTTGGCAATGTAAGGTTGCCCTTTGCACATTATTATTCCTTTTTATGGTATCTAACTGAGCATGCACACATAAGTTGATTACATCAGACAAAGAAAGTGTTTCAAACAGAAACACACTCTAGGGTTCTAGTGATTCATACCATTCAGTATATAACAAAGCTCAAGCCCCCCGCTGAATGCAGAGCTATAGCTGTGACTCAGCAGGGGGACTACACAGAGCATAGTGGTCTTATCTGCAGACACCTGCTTGGTAGAGGATTTCGTGTTTTATGCTGGAGTTGATTTCCAGATTTAAAAAAAATAAATAAAAAAAAACACCTTTGGTTCATCTATTTAATTTTACATAAAACAGCATTTTGGATTCATGGGTACTTTTAATAATACCCATCTTTACATTAACTACATGATTCAATGTAGTAAAATATGGCTCATCGCCACCTTGCTTGAAGTTTATTTAGAAATAACCTCTACAAATGAAAAACATATTTTTCTGGACTTTTTGCAATAGGAAGTATTAAAAATAAAAATGGTCGTAAAAGACGTGTTTGCTAAATTTTATGGAACTGAACAGTTACAATCTTACTGCATATAAAGTATTTTTAAAGAGCGGAGATGCTTTCTGTGTGTAAACTGTTTTCATTTACTGTTGCCATTAGTATCGACTCATGAATCATAGTAGAATGTTTACAGGTAGTCAAGTGTGCATTTACAATCAAAAATTCAATATAGAAGCAAAAGCTCAAAACAAATAAATAACAGGCGCTTGTCGGATATGTTATTAGGCTGATATTTACAAGCTCTAACTGGAGCAACACTTGACAAATGAACAGAGGCAGCAAATGCTTCTTTCAGAACATGCAGCAACATATGTGAACCATAGTAGTTCTTAACTGTATAATACAGCTCAAGAGTCTTTAAAGCGACACTAAACTCAGGCGTTAAATCTTAAAAATGCATTCAGTTACCTTAACTATTAACAAAAATGTATCTTATTTGTGTATCACTCAGCTGTACATCCTCAAATCATCTCTGAATTGGTGCTGACACTGTCCTTCCTTCTGGAGGGTGGCTCCTTTTGTTCCCCATGGTCCCTGTGTGTGTTGTAAAGTAGCCACCACTCCAAGCTCACTCCTGTGATGGACTACAATCTCAATACAAATTAGTAAACTAAATGCGACATTGTGGTTCATCACGGGAGAGAGCTTGGAGTGGTGGCTACTTTACAAAACACACAGGAACCATGAGGAACAAAAGTAGCCACCCTCTAGAAGGAAGGACAGTGTCAGCACCAATTCAAAGATGATTTGAGGCTCTACAGCCAAGTGATACACAAATAAGATACATTTTTGTTAATAGGTGCAGTACTTTAATGCATTTTTAAGGTTTAACTCCTGAGTTTAGTGTCACTTTAAGCTTTTCTGGCTTACAAGATATAGTAAAACGTGAACTCTACTAACAGATTTATTTCATAAAACAGTGCAAAATACGAGGTTTAAAATGTACAGTAAGCCATGGCACCCAATTAGATACCGGTTTACAGTATTACAAAATCAGTGACTTGATTTGTTGGGCATGGGTATTGCATATTCAACAACTCAATAACTTCCTTATAAAATGCTTTAATAAAGCCTGCAATGCGGTCACACTGTCCAAAAATATGCTTGTCCGTAAAAAAGTCTAATGAATACATAAAAACTAGATATTAAGGACATCGCTTCATGACCATAATACAGATGTTATGTCTATGATCAGAATCTGAGAGCTACAGCAGTGGGCGGTGAGAACCACAAGCCACTATTTTGTACAGAATCTATAAAACAAGCAAACCAATAACGGTGTCAAAGAGGAGCGATGTGATTATGCAGAAAAAAATCCAAACCTGAAACACAGGAGCGTGAATATAACGGCTATGATTGTTCAGGTATTAGGCTAACCAATCTACCTTACCATAGAACCGCTAAAGCTGAATTGTAAGACAAAATATCTGATCTGGACCTTTTGTCCTGCTCACATATATTCACCTGCTTGGAACCCCAGCTACCCTTCTTTACTCTAGCTGCTCGTCATGAACTGCAAATCACAAACTGGAATGCTTATAGCATTAAAGAAAGCAGCAAGAAAGAAAGGTAACATCACCAATTAGGCCAGTATATGTGGCAGAAAGGTCACCGACATTTACCATCATAGAAGCAAATGGTGGCAACCAAAGTACTCTGTCCCTTTAGTGTTGCGTCGTATTCTTTACAAACCCTCGTCATATACCACTGTATTTCTTTCTTCCAAATGTGATTCAATCCAATCAAACACAGCCGTTTTTCTCTCCAATGAGCAGGTTAGGTCTACTAACTGCAACTTCTCATTACAACTCTGAACTCATTATTACTGTACAAGCAACCTTAACCGTCTTATCAGAAAATTGATAGGTGCACTGATTGTAAAATATACTTGTCTGCCTATGTGTTATAAACGCTTGAATAGAATTATATTATACAGAGGAAAAATACAGCTGATTTTTATAGCATTTAACAACCACCTCTGAGTTCATGTGATGCACAGCAGTCAGTTAAATTCAAAAAGGTAACCTAAAATTCAAGGCTGTGTGCAATGTAAGTCTTGCAGAACTTTCATAAGAAAAAACCTGACTTGAAATCCAAATGGTAACTAAGGATAGTCAAACAAGGCACATCCTGCCACAAACTACCAGGACATGTTGGGCTATCCTAGGGAATCAGGAAGAGCATTGCTATATGTCGATAAAGAAAATTCTGAAAGGAGACTCTGAACAGAGACTTTTCAAGGGGTGGTGATTGGTTCTGGAAAGCAAAGGGTACAAGATTGTGCCACCAACATTTTGGCCAAGTCACAGAGTATACTGTAGCGGTCCCAGCAGCAATACAATGGGAATAAAGAGAGGCAGAGATCTCCCTGCTTGTACTCAGTTGGAAATCTGCTCGTCTATAGTCACCCTAAAAGCTTCTTTCAGAAGAAAAGAAAATGTACTTTAAAGAAAATACAGAAGTAGATGTAGAAGAAAAAAAAAGAAGATATGTGAAAATAATAATAGAGGATTCTAACTTAATTTTTAGTATACAGACCTCAGAACAAACTTCGTATTTTCTGTTTTGCCGGCTCCCGATTCTCCAGACACGATGATTGATTGGCTCATCTTTAAAACCTTCATGTCTCGGAAGGCCTTATCGGCTGGAACAAAACATATTGTAATAAGCAACACTTTAATGCTCTGGCAATCCCAGCTTTTTTAAAAGTTATTTTCTTCGTATGTACTTTGGAAAAAAAGCAACTGAAATAGCGTAGCCTTAAACATTTTTTCTGTAGAATAAAATTTAGTTATTGAGTCTATTAAGATATCATAAAATGCTTTTACAGTTCCCATCCACATCACATTGTCATTAGATTATACCTAGCCAAGCAGAGATCTATGCATTAGTGATCATTTAAAAACATTCCTTAAATACAACTAGCAGCACATGTTTTCTACACTCCTAGGTGTAAGCACAGGTATATTTTTGACATTTTAGCAAAAACCCAATGATTATTTCACCTGCAAAGAGATTTAGGGAACATTTTCTTTTGACTACAAATTAGAAATGGACAACAGGCAATCACAAAGAATGTTTTTTTTTTCAACACGTTCATAAGGCATGCATGCTCTGTGAGTACATAAAGTACCCCTGGCCCAGTTCTGGTAAACAACAGTCCACTGGCTGAAATAATCCAGGCCAACCCTACCTGAAGAACAGATGGTTTAATTAGCCACATGAGTCTGTTGTGGTATGAAAGTGAACTTGTAAAGATAAAAATAGGAGAGCTGCCATTGGCAATATAGTGAGTTGATGACCTAAACGAGCAAGCATGATGGGCATTCAGACTTTTCAAATTTCTATAGCTGCATATTTGTTCCAGATCTGCGATCCACTAAAAGTGAAACCACGATTAGGATGACAGGCCAGGAGCCAATACTTTTAAAAAACAAAAACAGCAGCGGCAGGTGCCATATTTTTATCCTCACAGTATGGCTTTACTATTACCTGCTTAAATTGCCAGGATTTAGGTAAGAATTAAAGAATGCCTATGGGTCCCCATAAGTAATCTCTAAACACAAAAGTTGAGAAAATCCAATAGAAAGGAATACAGAAGTATTTACAATTTCCTTTTCTATAACTTCTAATGGCTTTTGTACTGGTGTTACTACTTCTTAAATCTTAACAAAGTTGGGCTGTCTGAATCTTTAATTGATGCAGCCATAACTCTGGATACTCTAGAAAGCACAAGCCAAAAGCTAGTTCATCCATTTGTATACCTTCCACATGTGTAACTCCCAACTTTCTGAAATGAGAAAGGGGGACATCTTCTAGAAAAATGTATTTAGGCAATGGACACATCCATGCCATGCCCCCGTATTAACGATTGGCTAAACCCAGAATTGTTTTTTTCACCATAATTTTTTTTTATATGAGCGTTTAAATAGTAAACAAGATAATTAAGAGATAGGAAAAAGGTTTTACTGCAGAATAACACTTTTAGTAGTTACAAATACATTCTCAGATATTTGTACATCAGAACAAAAAGAGGGAAAATTCAAGAAGAATGAGGGGCAAGGGGATTTGGTTCCAAATGAGGCACATATATAAAACACCAATATATTACTCTGAGGGAACAATCTAAATAGTTTAGATGCACAAGATACACATCATAGATAAAACATAAAAGGTGCCATACCTATTGCATAGACATGTGGTGGTAACGTTCCTAGTGATTTACCCTTGTATTGTTTAATGACATCAGAAGAATAAATTTTTGGTACATCAAAATATGGATTTATCGCAATTAAAATGTTGGCCACACAAGTCTAAAAAAAAAACCAAAGAGAGGCAGTTAGGATACAGTGAAACAATATAGATACAGTAATACTGTATTTAAAAAAAAGTCCTTTCAGTTTAAGACTCTAACATACCTAGTACATGAAATAGATTTATACACAGAAGCTGATACAGTGCGCTTGTTGAAAACCGACTCTTAAAATTTACACAGACACCAGCTTGACTCTTATAATATACAACATAAATTATTGTACAGTAATAAAGTGATCTTAAAGTCAAAAGGTTTTTAAGCTGTATCAAATCACTTACAATGGATGTTGCCCCTTGATGTTTGAAGGTTATAGTTTCCTTTAGAATCAGCTAGTCCCCTGAGCACTGGCACATATCCAGTTTTAGGGTGGCTCCATAGCCATGCAGGGTGCTGTGGAGCCACCCTTGTGAGTACTAGTAAGCTGTGTGTGTCTTTACAAACACACAGGATACAGTCCGTGTACCCCTCGCACTCAGAACCGCTGCTGCATTAGATAAGAAGTGGGTGGAACAGGTGTCAACGGGTGGCTTCCGTCAAAGGTAAAGGACGGACACCGGCACTCCAAAAGCAAATCCAGTACATCTATTTATTCACGCACTTGTTGCAAATTCAAATGTTTCGGGGTCTCACAGGATCCGCTTCTTCAGGCAAAATAGTGAACACTTGTTTGTCCTGATGAAGGGGATCCTGTGAGACCCTGAGTATAAAGATATACTTTGCTGGGCAATGTATATTTGTTTGATCTTTATTCATTATTCAAAGCAAGTTTGAGAGTTTAATACTACTTTAATTGTTGTATTATTAGTTAGATATTAATATATTTACTTAGCATCAGTGGAGACTGAGGAGTTCCAAAGGCCAAACAATCAAGAAACATGAAGTCTTTGAGATACACACCCTAGATTTAATTTTAATCAGATTTTATTATAGTCCTGATATAATGAAAGTAAATTCACCAATATCCTTTCCAAGGTCCTTTTGTTTAATTGATGAATGTTTTAATATATTCATATGGTCACCTTAATTTAGTTAAGAATATCATTTGATCAAAATATGATATACTTTGTGCAGAAGAGGACTGGTTCACCAGGGCAATGGAATATCCCCTAGTGGGCCCCGAGCATGTAGAGAAAAGATGTCTTTAAAGAAGAACTCAGGGGGAAAAAATGTATTAGACCCACACTGCAAGGGTTAACGGCTTGTTTGTGTATAGGTACTAAAAAAAAAAGCAACCTCATCCAATCATTCCAGCCAGCTTGTTCTTAGACCAGTCCCTAGAGGCCCCTCTCCCCCTCCTCTGCAGCGATCCAAAAATCATTATGTCATCATGTTCAATACAAGTGTATAGGCAGAAGAACACTGAGGAACATTCCATATGTGCAGTGGAGGAGGAGACACGCTTCAGTGACTGGAGAAGCAGGGAGTTGGCTTAGAAATTCAGGTGAGTACAATTTATTTATTTTAACACCAAGACGAAAATAAGTAGTTAATCCTTGCAGAGTAGGGGTAGCCCCACTGCAAGGGTTAATAAACATTTCCCCCAGAGTTCTTCTTTAAAACCAATAAGTGTTAGCTGATGGCAACCCCTACTCATCAATTATAATGACCTTTTTGCTCCACAATGCTGTAAAGGACAGCTCACAAGGCTGCCAATTAAAGAGGTTGGCCTGCCCTCTGTAACTGTGGCCAACCCACCTCCATGAAGCTGCTAAAAGGGTGTGTCACCATCATCAGGTGGACAGGTTGTAGTCACTGAGGGCAGGCCAGGGTCTTTATCTGATTGCCTAGCCACCTGTCAATTACAGTGCGGGTCCTTGAGGTACCTACCCTTCTTCCAGTGCTGGGCAGTAAGAGGTCAACCCTACTCTGCACCGCTAGCTGCAACCTGCAACTCTAACCAGGTATGAAAGCTCAAGAAGCACAGGGATTGCAATACAAAGAGCTTTTTTTATTGCTCAAACTTAGTAACAGCTGTGACTAAAATGGAGCAATTAATTAGGCTGAACGAAAAACATATGACAGATTCCACCATCAAGGCTAAAGATGCCCATACACCTTACAACCATTGCAGAACTTTTGTCTTGTGATGGTTGTAAGCTAATTAAAAGCTTGTACAATCTGTCCATCTTGGACAGGCAGATCATACTTGCGATCATCGAAAGCTCGCCCCGCTGAGGGGCGGGCTTCAGATGACTGCAATGCTGAACGAGCAGTGTGCGCTTGTGCACACCGGCCCGTTCGGCATTTGTCTTACGACCCCGCCACAAACCCGCCGTACAGTAGAAACGGTTGCACGTCTTCAATACACCTGTCGATTATCGTACGATCACGGGATTTCCAGCGATTATCATACGATAATCGCAAGGTGTATGGGCACCTTAACAGTGTTCTTCTATACATTGTACACTGACAGCGGCGCTGGCCACTGTCAGAATACCCAAACAGTGCTTGCAGTGCTAATTCCTCCAGAATCAGACAAAATTCACTGTGTGTACACAGCTTAATGTCATTTGTTTGCGTATTTAGCTTGGACCTTTCAGTATCCATAGTCTGCCCATTATGGAGAGATTTCCTCTCACTTCCTTTTACGACTACAGGAAAGAAAATAAAAAAACATTTCCTGAATGGCACACAGATGACAAAAAAATGTTTTGGCTTTAGACATAACTTAAATATACATTTGTTTTAGAAATTTGGAATCACCCCCCCCAAAAAAAGAAAACTAATAAGCCACTGATTTCAATCAACTATCATACAAACTGTGGAGATCCAGCGGATCTTGATAAATGAGCAGGGAATCTTTCTTCCAAAGTCCCCTCTCTTCTCCAGTAATGACATGTCACCTTTGTTTCTTTGTTAAATACACTGATGTCACCCACCCCTTGGGACCATACACCACGGACTGGATGATATCATCCTGCAAGATTAGTCATGTTTCAGCCCTGGCGGGAGAAGAGATCACGGGAAAAGGGATTTTCCATTCTGTAATCCCCCTGTATTTTGAGGTGTTAGTAACCAATTGAAAACATTTGAAAACTGAAAAATAGCTCACAGTTTAAAGGGGCCAATAAACACAAATTACATCACTTTCAGGAAATAGTTTTAACATTTATAAATATATTATAGTTTTAGGCGCTTATTACAACAGAAGACATTTTAAAAGAAACTTTTTTACACAATAATATTTTCCAATATGCATCAGGACCAGGAATCTTACTGAAGAAAAATGGATGCATTTTGTTGCCACCTTTTGCCTAAAGCTGTTACAATCTAATTGTAACATGTATTAGGTACAAGAATTATTGTGATGGGATTAACTGTACATTTTGTCTTTTGAATCTAAGTTTATTATAGGCCTGGTTACACACAATATAAATATACTGTATTTTTCGCTCCATAAGACACACCTGACCATAAGACGCACCTAGGTTTAGAGGCAAAAAAACAAGAAAAGAAAAAAAAAAGTGCAGAGGAACGGGTGTGATGCACAGTGCAGAGGACAGGGTGTGATGCACAGTGCAGAGGTCAGGATGTGATGCACAGTGCAGAGGTCAGGGTGTGATGCACAGTGCAGAGGTCAGGGTGTGATGCACAGTGCAGAGGACAGGGTGTGACGCAGAGGTCAGAGTGTGATGCAATTCATGTTCGCACAAGATTTAAGTCTTGTTCACACCAAATCCAGTGTGTTCCCACAGTGCGATCACCTGCATGGGAACGCATGGCACAGCAATGCCCACGGTGCAGTGCAATTGCAAAAAATAGCGCAAGCAATTTCTTAAGTACCTTGGGGTGAAGGTTGCTCACCGTTTTGAAAAAAGTTCTCTATATGAGTCACAGCTCTGCCGCTCTGTACTGCCCGCCCACACAGCTGGAGGAGAGGAGGAGAATCAGATGATGCCAGCCCTGTAGGATCAGTTGCTCTGAAAAGACTGAACTCGGCGCCGCCGACCAGCGGCACCCTCCGGTCGGGTGTTACCCGGGTGAGGTCCACAGACCACCGAACACATC